AAGCAAAACATTCTGATAGTTTTGTTTTTTGCGAATCTGAACTCCTTTTCATGTAGTCAAGGAATTCCAGGCATTCACTGTGCGCGAAATGATTCTGGGGTACAGGAGGCCCGTGAAGTGCTTGTAATTCAGAGGGGCTTCCGGAGCAAAAGTGAAACGCGGACAGTGGAGGAAATGGGCCACATGGACCGCACACTCCTAAATACTCTGAAGCGAGAGGACATCCTGTAACAGTACAGGACGTCTCTAGAATACATGGTAATTCTTATAAAGTAAGCAATGTTCCCATATTAAACAGCTCTCGAGAACTCCATCGCTTCTCTAAAGATTGTTTGATATCGCAAATAGGCGAAAATACCGAAATAGAAGTGATCTGGACTGTTTTACCTTTTCCAGGAACTTGAAATAAAATGTATTGAACTCATTTATTATGCATGGAAATAAAGCTCTCAAAACCGTTGGAAATCATATTGGAACTCTTCGTTTCAAAAAACTCATTCTTTACAAAGAAACTCCACTTTTTTCACTGTCATTATCCTCATTAGTTGACAAGTTTCAACTCGATTAGTAGCGAGTGCGGACAGCATAATTACTGCCTAGTCTTTGCACCTAATCAAGGTCACTTCGCGCCAAGATGCGAGGCGAGCTTGATTAGGTGCGATCGAAAATTTATTCGCACCTAATGGTGCAGATGAGAGGATGTACCAAACTGACTGAGTAATACTGAAAAGGATAGAAAAAGTCAATGCAAGGAATTATAGTAGACAAACGAGCAAAGGAAAAACGCTCAAACCTTTATCTTAAGTGAAGTGTGCAGCGAGGTGGGCGGAGCCAAAATTAGAAGACGATAAAACATTTTTGAAATGGACGTGAAGCTGAAATCAGATCGGAATGAGGCTAGGCGAAGAGATGATTTCAATTCTTCGTCCTAAGCGAGGCGTGCTTCTAAGAGGGTGAAGCTGAAAATGACAAAATCCAGAGTCTGCGACTAAAGTCTATAAAGGAAGAAACTCGAACGTTCATGATATGTAGTTCTACCGAAGTGGGTGGGAGCTGAAATCACTTTCAAACAACTCTGGAGTAGTGCTTGCGAAATTTCCATTGCGTGGGTAATTATACATCTTATTCGCATACCCATTTAGCGATTTCACCTGGTTTACATTAGACAGGTTGTGGAAAAGGTCGCAAGATCGACCTCACACGAATTCGCTGTGAATGACAGAGCTCAAGCTGCTGTATGCTGAATATTTGCGGAAGTTGCTGTCTTGCTCTAGATTCGGCGACGTATCACGCATTCCTAGAATGATTTCACATGAAAAGCGAGTTGTTTTTGGGAGCTGTTGTAAGTTAATCAAACAGACAACACCAAACATGCGTAACCTGCTGTCGTTTTTCTTTCTCCAACGCAGTGCTTGGGCCAGTGTTGGTAAGTGGCCTTTTAATGCCTAGTGTCGTTGAGCCTGCAAAACCGGCGGCAGCCGACAGTGGGCTTTCACTGTAGCCCCTGTTAGATGTTCGTGTTGCCCTTCATGCTATCACAGTGGCCTTTTGAGAGTCGGTAATGTGAATGGTACAGCGGTATAGGTGTCTTACCATGCGCCCAACTTGAAGAGTTTCACCGACGAGGGCAACTTCCTTAACGCTCATGCTCACCCTCTAGAAGATCCTTATGCAGGTGCTAGAGCGGAGGTTAGTACTTTTTGATGCGTGACATTCTGGGACGCTTCTTTCTGTGACATCGAGTTGGTCTTGCTTCCAAATTTGAACGGAGTCATCCTTTCTTCATCATGATTTCGAATTTTATATCAGTCGCTCAGCATAAGATGAAAAGCCACTTTCAGACCCGCAACTGGCTGAGTTCGTCGTGGACAAGTTTTCTTCATTGGACTTTGACTCAGCTGGTTCTGTCGTAGTTTCTATAATCATCCGCCTGTATGAGAAATACTGCCGCTCACTGAACACTGACGATGATAGAGTGGCTGAGCAATTGGGCCGCTCTGAGACACTGCTAGAGCAAAGCCGTCCACCCAAAGTCCTGTCCGATCTATTCTCTTTGTACACGACGTGTCACCATTTGAGACAACAGTGCGAGTGGCAAAGTAAGTTTGACTTTTCGTTCAAAAATTAAATCCAAATATTAACTGCATTCAATCCTCGGGGCATCATTGTTGAAAGAGCTCAGAAGGGTAATTGGAGCTTATAAATTACAAAATTACCTTAAGCTCAAACTTGCACATCATTGCAGATGTTATTTTCTGGTCTGTCTGTCATCTAGCTGATGAAGGCTTAACCATATTTGTCAGGCGAAAAATCGAAGATTTCTTGTGTGAGACGAAGGACTGTGAAGTCGACTCAATTCTTCCAAGCGTTGTCGACTTGTTTTGCTGCACGGTAAGTGGAATATCTTTTATGTACGACTAGTATTGTGATCTGGTTCTCATTAGTAGTTTGCTGTTTGCAATGACAGGGAGGGTACATACTTCGTTCTGGGTTGGAGAAATTAAATTTCTTAGAAGGAAAGCATGAGAGAATTATGAGGAAATGAAATAGGGCAATTAAGTCGGTACATTGGTTGCATCATACCCGGTGTACTGGATATTTCTCCTAATCAATATACGGTACCGTTCACTATTTACAGGACTCTGCTCATGTGTTAAATGGTACCGCCCGAATTCTAAATCACTTTGCCGATCGGTTGGATTGTTCCCATATTCAATGCATTATCAAAACTATACAGTCAGGAGGTGTCGCCGGTGATATAGTGTACCAGCTGGCTGCACGAGCACGGTAAGTTTGGACACGAACTTGATATAACGTCGTACATAAAGAAAATATCGTTGAAGACATAGCTCTGTCAAGCGTAGACTGTCAACTGTGCAGAGCGTCTACTTACATCTTTGTTACTACTACCGCAAGCATATTCGGTCTAGATTTTGCAAGAAGACTATTAGTTAGTTATGGCAACATAAAACTGTGATCTGACTGTATTTTCGCCTCCTTGCGACCCGTAGTTCAATTGATCTTGTCTGTCCTGTTTGGAGTCGAGTAATCCTGTACACCTTCCTCGTCCTTTGGGCGCGATGCAGCAGCATTCCTTTCGTTCATGGCCTCCCTAGATCTGTCGAGCGTTCGAAAACGATGTGTTCTTTCTCATTATGAAACTACTACCGTATGTTCCCAAAGTCCGTGGCATTCAATCCTTGGAACCTGGTCCTGCAGACAAACTGCCTGCAAGGTTTGCAGTTCATAATCACTTGATCGAAGGCTTCATTGAACGGCTCCTGATTTTTATGCTCAAAGATGCAGAAACTGATGCTCCTTTAGGAACTGCAGTCTCTTTGGAAATGATTGTTAGCGGGAAGCGCAGGCGATTTAGCCATAATGTGTTGTGAGCAATCAAAAACTCATAAAAATCTATATATCATCCTTATTCGCTCACCTTGCTGAAATCACCTGCAGAAACAAGGGCGTCACTTTTCCGTCATCGTCGGATTGAGCCATTTTCCGTCATCTTTACATAGGGACACTGTCCATCGCGAGGTGGAATTTGCCACAATTCTGTTATCGCTGTTACAAGCGAACAGAACACTTTTCAAACAACCTCAGTGAAGCAGCAACTTGACATCGGGGGAGGGTTGTAGTGCACGGTATAGATTTCTTCTATTGAAGCTCAGCTGACACGCGACAGTGCTGTAGAGCAAGGGATCTTGCAATTAGTTTCGCGTCGAGCACGTTCAAATTTACGAGATCAGGGAAGGACTAGTCACATATGCGCTTCTATTCCTTTCAGGGAAACGAGATCCTGGGTGAAAAATTGATGTCTTCAAGTGCAATGGTGCTTCCAGTGGACGGTTGTTTCATTCGATTAGAATCCGCAATTTTGTTGAGGTGTCAACGACCACCTTTATGTTACACACGTGGTCTCAGTATTTTGATTGTTGGGAGACTTAATGGCGAAGTTACACTGATACGGAAATTTGCAAGCAGCTGTTGAAATATTCTGTAGAACTTCAACTGATTGGAAACTTTTTCTGAAAGCAACTATTTTAGGCCCGACATGACCTTGTCAGACGATCTTGCGCCGAATAAGTGGAGTAGTGAAACTGCTAGGTGCCAAACCATCATGAAGCTTGTTCGTTCATCCCCAAAGTAAGCAGTGCATTTTTTCAATTGATATTTTCTCTGAAGCGCTGCGAGAACTGCGATCCTAGTGTTCTCTCAAAGCAAATGTCAATTCTATTTTGATTTTTATCGTACTTGAATCTGAACTACTGTCATCTACCGCAGTGACCGAAAGAGAAACAAAATTTCCATAAGTCCCATTTAAATTGTGCTTGAGCAAGACGCCACATCGTTTCGGTTATCACAATTATCGAAGATGGTCAAACAATATTTAATTTGCATTTGTATCAGTTTTTATGTTTTCGTAAAAGCTGTAGCTGGAGCAACAACAGGGTGGAAAGAAAATACGCTCATTCAGCCCCTACTCAGAAATACTGAAATTTTGGGAATTTTTGGGTGCAACTAATAATCTCTACAGCTTTCGCTGATGTTGCGATAGTTAGATTCGAAACGCTCTAGAATGTTTGAATGAAATCGCGCAGAAATGTTGTTGGCATTTCTAATAGCTCCCGAGTAATATTATCTCGTCTCATGGGCTTCTTAGTGGTCTTATTTTCTGCATTGCAGGCGCTCAGATCTCAGTGATCTCCTAGCTACAGTATTCTTGTCGCCATGTGTAAAATTAAGCATGTTTGTCAACGTCATCGAACTACTGGATGATGAGGTGGACGTAGTGTTTTTATATCAATTTTTCACTGTCTTATACCATTCCTCCTTGAAAAGTCATTTTTTTTTTGTGGGATAACTCCTAGTTTGCATGTAAAATGAATGCCTGTTCGCATATCTTCAGCAAGTCCTGAACTCAATGCATAACATAACCAAAATTCAGAAGACACCAGAAATTTTGAAAAAATTTGTTTTCACAGTGTGAAGCTGCGGCGATTCAAATTCACGATCACGAACAGTATTGTGCTGAGGGCGTTGGACCGCTACGCTCATTCCCGCCACACTGCTACGGTGGTCTCCTTGTCTTCTGTAATTTCTTGCAGTCCTTATAGTGTGTACAAGATGAGTGACTATGCAGAAGTCCTCTTTTTGAAACAACGACGACAATATCAGCTGCTACTGTGAAATCGGGAGCCTGTTCCGATCTCTCGAGGACCCTTGTAGGATACAGGACTTCCGATACGTGGGAAGTCATCTAGCCACTGATGACTTCGTGGACCAGGCTGTGAAATCGTGGATAAATATAACATGTTAAAGTGGAGGGACTTCACTGTTATCTTCCGTAACATTGCTTTAGGACCCCCATAGGAAAGGTGCACCGGTAGGTGCTGATTACTACAATGCTCTAAAACAGCTGGTCCGTAAGCAAAAATCGTAGAAGCCAACTTCACTTCGCTGTAACGAGGAGTTGGGCTTGCTGTCGGACGCGACTGGACCGGATCAGAAACGAAGACGAAGACGAGGCAATTCAATGCTGAAATGAAGCTAGTTCGAGGGACCTAAGGAAGATGTGGCGAAATGTGGTCAAAAAGGACCCCACCGGAGCTAATATAATGGCAGACGATATGTGTGAGTGAATCCAGTAACTGCGCAAGATTAACATTAGGGAGAAGAAGAAGTCCACAGTGCATGTACTGTACTATACGGATATCATAATACTGCAGTACGTTCCTTGAAACATTTGTGCGGGCAAGGTGTGGATTTGTCTACCCGAACAGCAAGCCGCTCTCGCCGCGTCCGTTCGCAATCTGCGAACAAGAAGCTTTGAACTTCCAGTAGAAAATTACGGAAATTTCCACGAAACCACTTCCTCTGCGTATGGTTGTAGACATACCTCCCCCAATTCAGAGTGTACGTTTGTTTATCTCTCAGAAAAGGCATATTTAAAACTAAAATATACTTGATGTTGATGACAGCCTGTAAGACGCATAGTCAAGTTCCAATTTACTACTGCCTTTATAACTGCCTATGACCAACAGTTCTCATAGAGCTTCCTTTTCGAGAACGGATGTGGTTCACAATTTAAACCTCCTCAGCCGTACAATCCCACTATTCCGAGTTCTCTGCTTTCGGGCGTATGACCCGTTTTTTCATATTATATTGCTTCTTCTATACTTGCATTTAGAAACTGAAATCCTACCTCATGGATGTCTGTCGATTCTTGTTGGATCGACGACGCTCACCGCTGTCGGATTTGCAGGAAATGCTATCAAAACTTTCCGCTCGTCTTGATGTTGCCGACTTGGCCATAGTGCTGGACCGCTGCTTTCCAAGATTACTAGTGAGATCTTTGATTTATTTTCAGAATTTATTTCGAATTTTGAAGTTGATCTTTTCAACCTGATAGTGCGATCTATCCGAATGGTCCTCTACAACCTGCCCCTCTCATCTGCATAGCGCTCCTTAACTCATATCTGGTGGATCAGCCGGTCGCACTTCCTCTATAGATTTTTAACAGAAGTGAAGCCGTTCTGAAAGGATTCATCACTGCCTTTTGAATTACTGATTTTTTCAAAAGTATTTCCTCAGACGTCCCAAATTCCGTGGTTCTGTATGTCGAGTTTCCAGTTTGAGTTTTTCCTTATCGACCAGCTTCAGTTCTTTGATAGCAAGGAATAGAACAGGAAGAGATTTTGTCGTTCAGGAATCGCCATGTCTAATAGAAGCGATATGTGCTGTGCGGGGCCAGGACTGTCTCAGCGATCCTGCAATGACGGACATTCGCGATAGGCTAGCTTTAGAAATCACGAAAGGTAATTTTTTTCATTTATTGAGTACTAATTTCTTTTGAGCGGCCCTCAAAAAACGCATCTACCCAGCCTTCTGCAAGAAATTTCATGAGGTCATCTACCTTTTTGGGCATCGTTCCCCTGACGTCGGACATGTTTGGCTCGTTCATATCATTCGTAGTTACAGTAGTGGTAACAATGCATACCAGCAAGGGTATGAGAATGAATGTGGACTTCGAACAATTCAATTTTTTGGCGAGTAATTTGATCGAGAAATTGGCTATAATCATACAATTGCAATGATTTGGTCTCAAAGCATTCCTGTTGATATGTCGATTCCTCATAAGAATATGGAAGATCTAGTCATCATATGAATAGTAAAGTATTCAGTCAGTTAAAGGCACAGTTCACGGCAATAGTGGCCACGAGATATCTACTTAGGATAAATCTGTGGCCCTCTCGTATACTCTATGAGGTCCGAAAACGGCCTATATTTGGCGCTATAAAAGCTCAGAGATCACATAGGCTGAAAACTAATCCGAGGTTCAACGACGTTGTAGAAGCCGCACTATGTCAAAGGACTCCCGCTCCCATCTAAGAACTTCAAACAACTATTCATGAGTTGTGGCGACAGTGGAAGGTAGTTCTAGACAGCCTTCGCTCGATGTAATAAGCTCTTTATGCAATTGCAATAACTGCAATCTCGTCCAAATATCCCTTCCATGCCCTTTCGATGCACTGTTCTCAAACCGTATTTCCGCTTTTCGACTTGAATAGTGTACCTCCAAATTATCGTGGCTAAAGGAAAGATTTCGAGTCATTGAAAATAGAGGACAGAGGAACAATCGGATTAAGCCAATTCCCTAAAAGCGCTCTTAAGGGCTACTTAATGTTCAAATCCCGTCGAGCTTCCATCCAAAATTTGAAAGAAATTTAATCGGCAACTTGCAAAGTACAGAGACCTTCCAAAACCAAATAATTGACCAAAGAGACCTCGTTTTACTTTTACTATGGAACCGGAGAGCGAAGCAGGCAAACGCGTCAGAGCACTTGACGTCCTTTCACATCTGACGTTATCTCAAAATATCATTTGCGACATCTTTCCCTGCAGCTCTCATTTTACACTCTTCAAAAGTCGTGTGCTTCGTCTTTCACCATATTTTTAGATTACCATAGGTCATGCTCTCTTACAATCGGAAAGTGCTCCATTCAAATCAAACAGATTAGTTAATGAAACAGCAAGTATCACTTAGTATCAGTTTTTGCAAATCGTGCGCCAGCACTTATTTGTTCGAACTAAGAAATTCAACCAATGTTAAAATCCATTATCCAATCAAATATTCATNTCCGGTCGGAACATTGTTGCAGTCGCAATGTTCTGTGGTTTTTGACTTTTATGTGATTAGAATGTAGGTCATCAGCCCAAGCATAAACTCGCAGAATTCTCTATGATTTGCGTTTTTGATAATATATATTTATTCCAGCCATAATGCACTCGGATTGGGAAGTACGTGATACCGCATTGGAGATTGCAGCGGTGGTACCCTGTTTTCGTCCGATGTTAGGTATGTAAAGCTAGAATAGTTTTCAGATCCTTTTTTATTCAACTTCGGCACTTTGTTCTATTGACAGCGGATTTTTTCGTTTTTATGGTGGATCCTTGGCTTCTAAAGACGGCGATTATGTCGAAACGTTAGGCCGTTGAATTGAAAAATAGAAAAATCTTGAACGGTATAAGAATGTTACCAACGTGAAGCTGAAATATTATAGGGCTCTTAATTTTAGACACTAGTGGCTAATCAGTTTTTGAGGTTGGCCAACTACCCTAGGCCCAGGTTTCGCGCAAGAATCTTGACTGATTCTTGCTAGGTTTTTTTGCTCATAATCAGGCGTCTTGTAGTTGCATTCACATCCGAAAGTTTTGGTATATTCAACTAACTATGAAAGCAGAATCAGAATCGTCAACAAACTTTGAAAAAGGGCCTAAAATAAAGAGGAAAGACGCTCAACTACAAACCAACTCGCTGCTTTTCATGACTTACATGGGCTTCGATCGCTACGAGCTTTATGCCAATGGTCAAGGCTGTAGGAGGCGAATCTGTGGCTCGTCGGTAGTTAAGTCATGGTCAGTACCAAGCAGTGCTGTAGACTCACCTTTGCGCCTGACTCCTATCTTCCTCACCTTGTAAGGCGGCACAAGTGAAATTTGGGTTGGTGGGTGGGAGCTGAGCAGCTGCAGTTTAGGTTCGGAATCCCATCAACCAAACCTTTAACGATTCAATTTAAGTATCATTCAAAAAGCGGCGAATTCTTAAATCTTCAGTTCAGGGCCGCTGCAACCCCTCGTTCGCTCCGATCCTTCACCCTATGTGAGAGCTGCAGCGCTTCGATGTCTGATATTAGATGAGCAGTACCATCTAGATGAGCTTCCACTGCTATGTGAAAACGTGGTGCTAATGGATGCTGATGCTGAGCCTCGGTGAGGATGCTTTACGTTGGCGCATTCAGAAATGATATTAGTACTGTTGCAGCCTTGTTGCAATACAGTATCTGCACAGTACATTGAAGGAGAATATTAGCCATGCTTTTCGAATACTGCCAAAGGCTATTGAAGACAATGACATTGGAGTCAGAATACTAATGGTCGAGATGTGTTCTTCTTTACTTTTGGATAAGAAGTACGCAGCAGATACCGCCAAGGAGTTAGAAGAATGGACGGAGGTTGTTTTCATATAGCAGTAATCGAAGTGACTTGCCCTAAATCTGAAACTGGTAAAGAATATGTAAGCTTCTGCTCTTTCAGGATCCTGAAATCGGCGCTGCAGTTCGAGCAGTATTGGGTGAGCCGCCAGCAGAGCGATCAGATCCTGTTGAGCATATACTTGCCGATATGATGAACACCTTACGCATACGGTTTGAGGACACGATGGATTGTTACTAGTTCCTTGGAGTAACAGGGGATACTCTCGAGCAGAACAAGGAATGAATAGAGTGTGATCCTAATTTTATACGAAGGCTTCGTTCAATGGGTAATAAAGTATGACTACGTAATCCATTTTCAATAGAAGGCATTATTGGAATTCTTCGAATACATTGCTGGTTCATAAGTTGGCCCACACTTTGCAAAATATCTTCGTTTCGTTCAGTGATATGCCACTCCATTCCTTTGGTTGGCATGCCTGAGTGGTGCCTTCTCATTAACGGCGAAACCGGTAGATTTTTCATTCTTTCTGAATAGCAGCACGACGTTTTCAGTATGCTCCCTCGATTCATCGAGAACTTGTCCTGAGGTAGTCTTGAATTTCTCGAGGCTTTTCCCTCGCTTTTCTAACCAACGAAGGGTGTCACTAATCTGTTTTGCTGGAAGAAAGAGTTACGAGGGGCAGAAAGAATAAAATGATTCAATTCAGGAAGTTCTTGTGTTCCTCCATCTGGGCGTGTAAAGAAAACACCATGGTCACCCCCCAGATAGCTTTCGCTTCATTGAACCTCTTCCGGTGAAACTTAGCAATTTTGCATATTGCTTTATGTAACAAAGTTTGACCCATTTGGTTGAATCTACCAAAATTAGTAAAAGCCCTCTCTCACTGTACTTCCACATCGACCTACACACATGCGGACATACTAAGAAGAACATGTAGGTGTTGTTTTTTCGACGAAAAGTCCTTACAATATGAGAGTCGCCTTCGAGTCGCAAAACAATAGGGAAGATGCTTGATCGTCGAGTGAAACGATCGCGAATAGCCCAATCGTTCCAGACGTGTTAAACATTTTGACATTCTGGGGCTTTT